GGAATAAGAATACCTCGACGTCGTCGCCGGATGTGAGGGTCAATAAGTGCTGTTTTGCGCGCTGGACTTCACTTTGTGCGCGTCGGAATCTCTAACCTTGTAACTTCTGGTGATTGAGATGGATGGAGTACGCCGCCGGCTCTGGCTGCCTGAACGGCGTGGTTGGGTGCACTCACTATGGTCGCCCACTCCAGCTACACCCTTTCCTTTGACATGCCGCTTAAGATCCTCCATCTCCGCCGCCATTCGCCGGATGACGGCGTCTTGGTCCCTTAGCTTGTGTTCTAGTCGTCTGGCGTGCGATTCTCTCCGCCGCCGATGACCGTCTGGACTCCGTGAATGACAAAAGTTTCTTCCGCGCTTATCCCGCGCATCTCTTAAATGTCCTCCTGGAGACATCTCCAGATCCGCCATCGGAGGGATGATGGTGGAATGTCCTTCCCTCCGTTTGCCCGACTCTGGGGTAACTCCGTCGATGGTAGACAACGGAATCTCGTCGTTGTTCGCCATGGACGGCAATCAGATGAGCTTGGAAGACAAGGTTTTGTTTGTCAAGATTCCCACAGACGGCGCCAATTGTGTGGGGAACAAATATTCAAGCAAGCCCACACTCCTTTCTTCCAAGCTCCTGTCTGTCCGATCAACCTGCGAGCACAACGGCGGTGAGCTACCCAGCGGTGTGTAGCCGGAAAACCCCTCCGACGATCAAGTTAGACACACACACAGGGATAGAAAGAGAGAGAGGACTGAGTTGTTTTTTGTGTTTATCTCACCAAAAATGTGGCATCCACGATATGGGGGGCGCAAACATGCTTATATACCTTCTGCACCCCAAACCTACTCCCAGTGATCTCTCGACACATGGTGCTACTATCCCATCCGTCAGCACAAATCTTGCTGAACATCACCTAACCCAACTGCCAGCCCACTCTACTGGGAGCTCGGCAGCCGAGCTGCAGCATCTCGGCTGTAAACGGCCATGCTGTGCTTCATGCCCAAGTGCTCCAATAACCGAGCTCCTTTCCAGCCTTGCTCGACTGCATTCCGGCGAAGCCAAGCTTGCGATTGGTCATACCGGTCAACCAAAGGCCTTCCTACCGAGCTTCAGGCATGAACCTTCATGCCGAGCTATGGATGCGTGCTTTCCAACCGCGCAACACATAAACCGTGGAACCCTTACTTGACCGACCTCCGTGCCGACAAGGTCAAGTAGCTCGGTTCCACACGCCCTTGCCATTACTGAACAAAAATCACTTCTGGGTAGACCCAGGATACCACGGCCCAAATGTGTTCGGCCCATAATATGTCCGGTATTACCATGGCCCAATCCAGATCATACTTCTCCCTCTCAGTTATCATTATGTCATATACTCTCTGAACCATGAAATATCTAATATCATTTTTAAATGAGCTACAGAATTTTTAGATTAGTACAGCTTCAATCTTGCTGGATACTGAACCATTTGAATCAAAGAACTTAATCATCAAATCCATAAAGTTCTTTTGTATCACTTCATACAAAAAATCTCTGCCTCTTAAAGTATAAAACCAAGTTGTTTCTGTGTCAATCAAATTTCTTAAATAGTAGCAGAAAAACTCAGAACTTCAAGTAGTATTTTATCAATAGGTATAAGACCAATTTGGACATGTTCAGTAATCTAAATCACAACAATTATCCATCAACGTATTGCATGACCTAATTCTTTCTATTTCAAGCCCAATGTGACTGAAACCAAAAAAGTAAAAAAAATTAAAATTTTAAAAATATTCACTTAAAAAAAATACGAAAAATAAAAAACTCAATTTTTAGAAAACTGAAACCAGACATACTGATTGACACATTTAGCATATAGTCAATAAAAAATTATCTTCTCTAAAGGAACATGATATGCAATTCTAATGTATTATTATTCAAAATGTAAACTTTTTGAAGCTTTGGACATCAATGAGAATGCTACATATCCTGATGTAATATGTTCACAATAAACTTTGGTTTTCTCAAGTTGGCCCTCAAGTTTATAGAACTTAAAAAATATTTCTCAATTTCTTGTTTATTTTTCTTTGGTATTTGGTATCCATGCTTGCTTATGGATGATCCACATGTTGTTGGACAAACAATGTACTACATAACTGTCTTTTAAGGAACAATTGTTTCTTATCCTATATCCCACTAATGTAATCATGTTTCAGGGTGCAGCAAACAAGAAGGTAGCTGCGACTAATATGAATCATGCAAGTAGTCGTTCTCATTAGTGTGTTTACATGTATCATTGAAAGTAAGGTGAGTAGCTCTCCATTTCCTTCTTAATTTTCCTCCCACGTCATTAATAGTCTCCATGTTCTTGTTTTTCCAATGGTTTTTACTTAGGTGTGTTGGAACAATCTTCTGTGTAAATAAAATAAATTGAAACTAAATCAAACAAAATAAAATAAATAACTTACAGAATATATTTTATCGAACCGAATGGAAAAATAAAAGACCAAGTCGAGTGTGTGGCACTCTGTCCTTAAGACAGATTCGCCCCGCTTCGGTGCTTACGAACTAATGGCGTCTATCTCCCAGGATACAATGATCTTCACAAATTTGTAGTAGCACTCCAAACAAATTTGTCTGGCGAACTAGAATCTTGTGTTCTATACTCTCTTTAATTTTTTTCTAAAACTAGAAAGAAGAATATATGCAATAGTGCAAAAAATAAGACAACAAAAAATGAATTTTCAGACTGTTTTTGGATCATTGAACACTGCTGGAAATGTTGGTATTTATAGCCAACCAATCTAACCCGAATAGGTACCAAGGAAGTAAACAGATGTAGTATTTAAACTGAACAGATGCTGCACTATTTCAACAGATAACTGCTGAGCAGTTAAATCTGTTAAAACTGCAGTAGTTTAAAAAAACCTTAGTAGTTTAAAAAAACCTTTCTGGAATATTCTGAATCTGTCTGGTAGTTTGAATTTGATTAACCTTAGTTTGAATCTGTTCAAACAGCTTAACAAATATGCAACTGCTATGAACAGATGCAGTTCAAAAACCTGGACAGATCTGCTGGACAGAACAGATGTGAAACCTGTGTGGACTATTTAATCTACTAGAAATAAATGGACAGAAAATTTAAATTCAAATTTTGAATTAATTTCCCCTAATAATTTTTTGGAAACATTTCAAATGAATTTTATCCAAAAAATTAATATAATAACCGACCCGACCCACAACCAACACCCGGCATGGCCGGTGGCAGCGCGCGTGTGATGGTTTGAGCCAAGGTTCCATTTGTCCATAACTCCTCCCTTCTACAAACTTTGGGTGCTCCTTAGGACCCAACCCAAGTGTTGTAATCTAGAGCTTATATACTCAACAAAGCTCTCTTAAAGATTTAATGTGGGACAACCCATTTCAACGAAACCCACATTTAGTTCTTTAAATGTTCATTCCACGAACCCCAAAACGACATCAATTTCTCATTCACTCATAAATGGTTTTGACGAACCGTCTTCACCATGTGACTTGCCATGCGGCAAGGAACATGTCACCTCTTCGGACCCACCCCAAAAGACGCTAGGGGCCCACTCAATTTTGGACTCAAAGTTGGCCCAAGTTAAGCCTTATAAAAACCAATTTTCCAACAGGGTGTTGGGATATGCTAATTCGATGGTTCATGTTTAGTAGGAATCCTAGGGCATAACGCATCATCAGTTTGCTCGGCTTAATCTTGTGGATTTAGCAGGTTTTGAAAGGTAACATCATCGGATGATGTATAATGAATACCTAGAAATGGAGCATTCCTGTTGACAACAAGATTGAATCATATACCGTAGATTTAACATAGTTATTATCCTGTTCAAATCATAGGCAAAAGAGTTCTGGTGCTGAAGGTGAACGTCTGAAGGAAGCTACAAATATCAACAAGTCCCTTTCGACATTAGGGTTTGTTCTTCCTTCTTTTCCATCCATATTGTTGTAAAGTTAATTAAGAAGTTCAACATCTGTCCTTTTGAAAGGTCATCGTGGGATTCGAATCTAATCTATTGTTTTCCTTAAATTGATATTTTATTATTTTGGTTTTGGGATGTTCAGGCTCGTGATTATGAACCTTGTGAATATATCTAATGGAAAGTCACTCTACGTTCCTTACAGGGATTCAAAGCTTACATTTTTGCTTCAGGTGAATAAATGCAACTTTTTTTTATGCTGGATGAGTCATACCAGTATCTTATTTAGAAAATTATGTGTAGTTTTATTTTGAATCTATACTGATGCTGTAAGGCTATTCCAGAAAAGAAAAAAAAAATCATGTATTGAGAGTTCGGAATACATGGTTCACGTACTGAGAGTTTAGATGATTGTATAGACAATACATGTGAGTGTAGAATAGATATTTTACATGTACTCAAGAGTTGTCATCTAGGACATAGGAAGTATTTCGTAACATTTTAGTAAGATTTTACATGGTTCATGCTTTTAGTAAGATTTTAATTTTAGTATTTTTTTATTAAAAAAAATTATGTGTTCAATTTATTAGTATTTTCCTTTTAACCTTTTCTTTTCTTTTCTTTTTTTCAAGGATCTTCTAACTTTTAAATAAGTTTTTTTGAATTATAAAAATCAACCAAAAAAATACTGTTAAAAAAAAAAGTAACTATTCAAAAATAAATTTGTCAACTTTGTCTTGTCGAATTTGTTTGTCACTTGCATCATTGGTTGCATTTGATTTGTCTGAATGTATCATGGAAATAATAATTATAATTTACCATTAGAAATTACTTACTATTAAACTGCGTGGTAAGAGAGATCTTTTATTTTTATTTTTATTTTTATTTTTATTTTTTATCTTAAAATATTTACAATTATTAAATTATATCTTTTTATATTATAAATTTTTTATATAATTTAATAAAAAAATGAATTGTAATTGTAAAATTATGGATTACATATAGTTAAGCTTTATCAAATCAGCTACATAGACTATGGTCATTATCTATAGCTTCTATAATACCATCTATCTTCCTTCAGCATTGTCTTTGATAATATCAATGACGGTATGAGGAAAATCAATTGGCTGTAAAATAATATCAATTACTTCAAGATCAATTTTCGTAAGATAATCTGCAGCCCTATTAGTTTCACGCCACGTATGAGAAACTATGCAATTGTCGAATTTGTTTAGGAGCTCCCAAATCCGAACCAAACCACACTTCACCCTTGGATTATGAGATTGTTGTTCTCCATTGATTATTTTAACTGCACTAAGAGAGTCAAATTCAATCCATATGGATTTAATGCCGAGTTCCAAGGCAAGTTTAAGACCTACCCATATTGCCCATAACTCAACGACAAAAATATTATGTACATCTTGAGGATGAAGAACTTTAGACGCATAAGCATATATCGGATCACCCTTATAGTCATCAAAAGTCCCACCAAAACTAGCCTTAAGATTATTTCTACCACTCCTAATAAATCCATCCACGTTCAGTTTCGTCCAACTATATTATGGTTTCTTCCATATGCATCATTGAATCTGTTGCGAAACAGGTTTACGAAGGTGGGCATCTTCAAGGCAGTGTAGGACGATCAACAAGAATTCTTCATTCGAACATGTCGGTAATGACTTGGGTAACAAACACAAAGTATTCATATTCATATTTTCTTTCTTTGTTTTCAGAAATACAAAGTATGATATTTACTATCTATATATATATAGGTTTTTGGTCGTTGGTAGTCCAAATCCTAGTGTGTCATGCAAACAAGAAAGAAATTAGTAAACAAACACTAGTAAGTGATTAAGTTCTGTTTGTCATTAAACATTACTAAAATGTTCATTCTTATATCTTATCTCATTTTTATCTCTCATTTAATATAAATAATAATTTCATAAATATTTTAATCCAAATAAAAAAAATTAATTATTAAAATTAAGTGAAATTTTTATAAACAAAAACATAAGTATAAGATTCATCACCCATTTTATGCATTGACAAATATATAAATTTGTCATAGTATTATTTTTCATAACTCTTTAGAATTTTAATAGGATTACCTTTTTACACTAAAAAAATTCATAATTTGATATAAGAAAAAATGATATATTTTATACTATAATTGTTTTGATTCAATTGCTATGTATGATTTTTTTTAATATAATATAAATATTTTTTACAATTAAAATTTCAAATTTAATTAAGTTAAAACTGTTTATAAAATTTTTATTCATATTATATGAGTAGGGTAAAATTAGGATAATATACACCATTCTGGAAGAATGAATTTTGGAAATATTTTACGACAAATAAAATTTAATTGTTCATATTAAAATTTGTTAGAACTTTAATAATTAATAGTAATTTTAATTGCAAAATAAGACTTATTGATATTTTTTTCAAAAAACTACCCAACAATCCAAACATGGAAAGGTTTCTAAAAACGTACATAAGCAGTCACATTTGTTCCAGAAACTTCCTAGTCTTGTGCTTAGTTTAGAAATTTGAGAAGGAATTTAAAAAGAAAAAATAGGTGAAATATTAATTTCACATACCTTTTTTTATTTCTCTTTCCAATTTTTTTTTTTTTAAATCATCTAACCAAACACTGTGTAAAAGAACGTAATTGTGTGCAAAACTCTCAAGTTCACGTGTGATGATGTAGATCAATGTTAGTATTACTTCCAAGTTGAACACATTTGTTTGGATGATACCACCAATAACTGAAAAAAAAATCTCATAACAATCACATGATATGAAATTACTCGTCATTTTTACTTTAATCTCATGTTTTACTAAAATATATGGTCCAACCATGATTTTAAAAAGCGACGGCAACTACAATTGTGGTGATTATTATTATTCATACGACTTATATAGTAGTGTGATAGAAATTTATAGCTATAACGGTCACCACCTTTCCATAATTTACCCATTGTTATTTGTGATTCATACTAAAAATTGGTACATGTCCAGAACATTATGTGAGTCTAAGTGTTTTGTGATTTGTTCACTATTATTTATATTTTTCAATCATCTTATAATACAGTTCTGTTATTTGATAGTTAGTACAAATTGTTATATTCTAAATTAGAATATAATTATTTAAAAAATAAAAATCAAATTTATACTTGTTGATCCCACCTTTGAGAAGAGATTACAAAAGTCTGTCTTAATGCAGTCTATAGGATTGTTTATAGTTTTTATTAATTGATTTTAGAAGTATGTCCGAGTATGTGGTTTTAAAAAGTAAAAATAATTTAAATAAATTTTAAAAAAAAATTGATTATTAAAAAAACAAGGAGAAATATTTTTAATTTTTGTTTTATGCTATCAAGTGTTCCTAACCACTTGTTTAATGTGCGGAAGTGACTATGATAATGTGTTGGTTTTAGTTAAAAAAAAAAATTATGTGTTCATGTGTTCAAAAATAAATTTGTCAAGTGGGTCACTAAAAGAAATTTGTCAAGCGGGTCACTTGCATTGGCTGTATTTAATTTGTATGAATATGTCAATAAAATGGAATTAACTAGTTTAAATTTACCATCAGAAATTTTTCACTATCAAATTGCACATACCTTTTTTTCAAAGTTTTTATAATTGTTAAATTATATCTGAAAATTTTATATAATTTAGTTATGATTGTCATAAGATATCTATATACTAGGGTATGCCCATGCCTAAAGGCACGATAAAAATATTTTTGGAATGAAAATGTAATTGGAATAATTTTAAGATTTTAAACAAACAATAAAATGTAAGTCTCACAACACAGAAACATATAATAAAGGACAAATTACACAAATAGTCCCTATAGTTTGGGGTTTGTGTCACTTTGGTCCCTGACTTTTCAATTGTGACGCATTTGATCTTGAATTTTGAATCTTGTTCCAAATAAGGACAATTGAAGACATCATTAGATTTTTCAGGGGTAAAATTGTCAATTTCATAAAATATAAACTAATTTGACAAAAAAAAATGTCAAACAAATATTTTTGAATTTTTAAAAATTATTTCTACCTACTAAAAATAAAATTATGTAAAAATGATAAATTTTTTTGTCATTTATTTATTTTTTTTACCAAATTAATTTTTATTATGTGTTTGGATGATGCTCATGTGAAATTAATTTTAAAAAATTAATCATGTAATTTTTATTAATTTTACATAATTTTATCATTGGTGGATAAAAATAATTTTTAAAAAATTAAAAATATTTTTTTGACATTCATTTTTGTCAAACTAGTTTATATTTTATCAAATTGACGATTTTACCCTTGAAAAATCTAATGATATTTTTAATTGTCCTTATTTGGAACAAAATTCAAAATTCAGGGTCAAATGTGTCACAATTGAAAAGTCATGGACCAAAGTGACACAAGTCCCAAACTATAGGGACTATTAGTGTAATTAACCCTATAATAAAAATCAGATGAAATATGCCAGGCAATGCTCTGCAATAGAAAAAAATAAATAAACAATAAATTAAGCATACCAGTCTGTGCTCTGCAATACAAAGAAAATGCCAAATAATAAATTAAGCATATCAACCAATATTCTACACACACACACACACACAAAAAAAGAAGAAGAAGAAGAAGAAGAAGAAGAAGAAGAAGAAAAGAAAAAGAGGACATATAACAAATTAAGCATGTCAATCAGTGCTCCACAATAGAAAAAAAAATGAAATAAAGCACATCAGCTATGCTTTGCAATTCAAAAAAAAAATGACAAAAATTGTGCAATGAACAATTATTTTAAAAGATTAATACGTACACAATCCAATCCTATATTAAAAGTAACACCCTTGCTAAATTTATATAAGCATAAATTCAAATTAAACCCAAAAATTAAAAAAAAAAATTATGATTAGTTTTCTTTTAGCTAATTCAAGAGCATATTAGGAAGAAGAAAAAAAAAAACAGACTATATGACCGAGTGAATAATTCAAATGAATATTATATAACATATATCTAAAGTTATAAATTGCACATAGATAAAAGGCTTTACAAAACTAAAATTCACATTGATAGGAAACTTTACAAAATCTAGATCGTAGCTAGCATATGTATGCTTTTCATAAAAATAAATATGATTTTCAAACTTGTTCTTTCTTAGAATTCATAGAAGCGCCTCATCACTTTTCAAAAAGTCTTTGTATGAACTTCTATGTATCCCCAATGAGGAGCATGCACAACAATCTAGCAATTTATGAAAATAAAAAAGTTAGTATATTAGTAGAAGAAAATCTGTATAAATATCAAAACACTTTTAAATTGAAATTACCTTATTACATCTCCATCGAAACAATCTTAGCATTTCTTTCTTGAAGAAATTGAAACTATAAATACAAAAGAATTAAAGGTAAAAAAAATATATATATATATATATATATATGCATGTAAGAAAATGAATAAAAAGAGTCGATATTATAGTTCGAAATAAGTCTCCATCCATCGGAAAAGAACATTTTGTTATAAGAAAATTAGATAAAAAATAATGGAAAGAAAAGAAAATTGACTTCAACTTATAGGAAAGGTGTATTTTTTTTTTAAATAAATTAGAAAGAAAACAACTTACGTAACCAAAAATAGTAATGTTGTCCATAATTAGAGGTTGAAGCTCAATGGTGTCTCAACCTAAAAGTGTCTGGTTATGTAAATTTGACAAAGATAACTGTAAGAAGGCAGAATGAAGTTTTAATAATGTAGTTAACAACCTACTTTGACAACAGGAGAAATTGAACTACCTAAACTACCTAAAGGCACGGTGTAAATTATGTTACTATCAAAATGTAGTAATTTGTACGCATCATGTTGAAATTTGTAGGGTCTATAGCATTTTTTGATTTCTGATAAAGATACTGAAAAAATATAAAGAAATATTCACCTTGTTTGTTTTTAGCTTTCCAAAAATACTTTTCAAAAAATTGTACTTTCTTGTTTTTCTGTGTTTTTTTTTTTTTACTGAATTTTTTAATATTTTAAACAATTTTTTTAATTTTTAGACACACCTAACATAAATACACATAAAAACTATAATTTTTGTGAAAAAAAAAAATTTAAATTCACTAAATACCAAAAATATAAATAAAAAAAATACTAGAATTCAATATATTTTTCATATTTTCATGTATTTATAATTTTTTAAAATATTTTTTCATAATTTTTTTACTTTTTAGATGCATCCAAATAAGGTGCATCTAAAAAAGTAAAAAAAAGCTTAAAATTTTAAAAATATTCACTAAAAATAAAAAAAAATACAAAAAATAAAAAAACTCAAATTTTTAAAAATATAATCAAAAAAACTCAAACCAAACACACATTATTCTTCTTAAAGAACTTTTAACAATTTTAGTAGCAAATCGGATAATAAAATATAAAAATTAATTTCAAAGAGAGGGTTACAATAAAGATGAGAAGAGCAAGTACATAAATAGAATAAAAGGGGAAGCATAAGAGGTATGTAAAGTACAGAATAAAAAATAAGCTCGTGCGTAATGACACAATGTAGTCGAATACAAATGTAATTTATCAAAATGTAGTTGAATACAAATGTAATTTATCGTAAAACATACCAAAAACTTAAGACATTGAGAAATATAAAGAAATATTGTTTTAAAACCCACACCCTACAATTTTGTTGGTACCACACTCTACAAAACTCAATTAAAGATAACAACTCCTAGGCACGGGTATATATACTTGTTGTTTAATCATAAATATTTCGTGTTCATTGTTCATTTGTTACCAAATAATACCAGCCAAAACTATTGTACATCTATCAATCTATCAATACTTTACAATAAAAATTAAAATTAAAATTAATAAACACCAAATGATGTACACTAGTTAGTGCTATGCAATTTCAAAAAATAGAATTCAAAATTAAACAACAAACACTACATAGCAGACAATTCTTTGTAATTCCAAAAAATAAAAATAAATAGCAAATAATGCACACCAGCTAGTGCTCTGCAATTTTTAAAAGTTAAAATTAAAAATAAACAATAAACAATGCACATCAACCAATGCTTTGCAATACCAAAAAATTATTAAACACCAAATGAAGCACACCAGCCAATGCTCTACAATTTAAAAAAATAAAATTCAAAATCCATATAACAAACAATGCATACCAGCCAGTGCTAAGAAATCTCAAAAAAATAAAAGTTAAAGCAAGTGACTCCATCCTATTGTCAAGTAAATATTATATTTAGTACAACTCTCTACATGAGAACTCCAAAATCATAAAGAAATAACAAATATCACATGAAATAGAATGAACAAGTTAGAGATTAAAATACCTCATTTATGTATGTAATGACAAATTAGATCGATAGTGCGTATGGTTAGGGAAAAATCCAAACACAGCTTGTAATAAATATGTTCTAATTTAATATGATTTTCCCTAGTGTGTGTACTCAGTCCATGACCTGATAACCAATTTGCAAAAATCAGGTGCCTTGTTTTATGATTTAAAGCAGTCCTATATTGCATCCAAACAATAACCAATCAAAGCACTAACCAAAACAGAGTTGAAACACAATAAAATCCAAACAAACTATTGGCGACAAAAAAAGCAAACTATTTACACATGGGAATGCTGAAATCCTGAAAATCTAAGATCTTAAACAAACATTAGTAGTACACTATCCTCTTATTTCTCCACTGAATCCCATTAAAAGAAATAGGATTAGAAATTATGAATGCATTTAAACTAATAAAAAAATGAACATAAGAAAAAAAATCCATGAGCATCAAATCATCCATCTTGTTGTGCTCTTGGGTCAATACCCACATGCAGTAAAAAAAAACATCTCCCACATATAGGAACAAATATTGTAGTCCATCTCCATGCCTAAATTGATGAGCATGACAAATCTCCTATTTTTTATGGTTTAGATTTAATTGAGACAAAATGTAAGAAAATATAT